ATAGAAGTTTAATAGATTGACATAAAATATAATGTAGACATATATAACCATTGGATGAAAGTACAATATAAATTTTAAAATAAAATTTGGGATATCTTATATAAAATGATGGAATAAATAGTTTAGTTATGGATGATTACTAACCGATAAATATATAAGCATATGTTAGTTTGACAATGTGAAAGCTATATAAACTGTGAGTAATGACTATGAAAGGATAGCGCAAAAGATTTGTAACCAACTGACACACTGTATGTATGTAAAATGGAAGATGGTTTTATGTTTTTATGTATTGTTTGTATATGTTTGTCTTAAAAAATAAAAACTTTTATTAAAAAAAAAAAAATAAGCAATTGAAATTCTTAGCATGCAGGAGAGGAAAGATAAGTCCTAATTATACAGTTTTAGCTTAAAATCTAATAGAAGCTGGAACATAAATAGACCCAAATATTAGATTGCGTAAAAAGGCAGCTTTTTATTTGTATTGTTTTGAGGTATAGGAGTCAATATCCATCTTAGGGAATCAAATGTATCACTGCTCATTTGCTAATATAATCAGGACCCTTTCTAATCTTCACATGCACCATTCACAGCAGGATCATGCCCCTGCCATGCCTTATGAGACAGGCCACATTTGAAGCAGCTTAAACTCATTTTCATCTATTCTAATTTAAATGTTTTTTCTCCATCTTACAAATCAATTTTTTGCTGTGGACACTAGGAGACTTGAAAAATAGTCAGGGAATGAAATCTACCCAACAATTTTTGACCACTTTAGGCTGGTGCAAATGCTTCCTCTCCTCTGGTCTCTGCCATTCACAGCCATTTTGGCTTGCGTTGCAGGACAGCCTGGCACTTGACTTCTGCAAAAGAATTTGTCCATGTAATACCTGACTAGTCAAGAGACCTAGATTCATTATAAACAAAGGTATTGTGTTGTTTTGAAAGAACATCAGATTTGGATTTAAATAAGTTCAGATCCCTCAATGTTGCCCAGAAGCTCAAATTAAACAGGAAAAAGTCAACTTGATTCTGCCAACTGTGTATTGTGAGTTCTATCACCAATAAATTCATTTAAATTCACATCTTCTATCAACGAGAGGTCATAAGGTCATACTTTTTATTGTTCTGTTATTTTGGTGTGGACTGACATTACATTTTCCTTTATATTCTTCCATGCCATTTTCCTACATTTCTGGCTATTAACATGTACTGCTAGCCATAGCCACTCTTTGCTAACAATACTACTCTTTAGTCAAGGAAAGAAATTACTTTTTATCCATGTCAAAATTCTCTTGGCTATAAACAACATATTTTTCTCCCCAATACTCCACACTTGCTGATTTGCCAAGGGCTCTAACACAGATGTCTTGAAATTGAAAATAGCACTGTTCAAAAGATTACAAGTATGGCTGAAATATGATGTAAGTTCTCTTAGAGACATTGTAGAAAGACTTTTTTCTTCAATGTTACTCAAGGGAAATTCAATGTATGTATCCTTCATAGTAAGGAAATGTTCTAAACAAATGGCACAATTTTTAAAGAGTTCCCTGACTAGTTTCTAAAGTTTGGTTTAGAAAAAGTCAAGGAAGAGTTTGATCTTCTAGAGAATACTTACATCAAAAGTCACTGTGCCTTCTCCAAAGCTCCAAAGTTTAATGCCTCTCCTCTGGCATGTCTAGCAGGCAGATGTAATAATCTTCTAGTCATGCAGAGGCTATGACCATGTGAATTAAGATAGGTGAATGTAGATAAACCTCTTATAAAAAAATATCTGTCCACCCAGATGAAGGCTATGCCTATTATTTTTTGGTTAGTTAACATCTTTGGATCTGTCATAGTCTGCTATTCTTGGTGAAGTTAGTTTAGTAAGCACTTTTTTAGTATTTTCATAGGAAATTCTTTCATGTTTGTATTTTATATATATACTGAGTACAATATGTGTATTAAGCATGTGATAAAACTATTTCCTTTGTTACCATATTTACTGTATAGACCCATCTTTATTTAAATACACTGCCTAATGTGAGGCATTGGTGAGTATTTATTCTGTTCAAATACTTCATATTAAAAATATTTTCAGGTGACTTTTTTAACTAGGTAAGAAACTCTGCAGTTAAGAGGTCAGAGTGGTCAGTGGTTTTGAAGTATGAAATTAACCCTGTGAGATGGGGTTGAGAGAGAATGAATGGCCCCAAATCGCCCAAGAGCTTCTGTGGTCAAGAGAAGACTAGAATCTCAGTCTTCTCAGTGTCCCTCAAAAGGCTTATTCACCCTTTCTGACTTCCCCACTGCCAGAGGGGCAGGCAATAGAGGCCCTATGTCCTATTTCTCAGTCCATGTATCTGTTAGAAATTATCTCTGTGGTGGGGCTGGGCAAATGGGGGTTTGGGAAAAACATGCTGTTCTTTGTGGTTTGTTCCTCTTGCACAATCCCTGCTCTCTATGACCACTTGGGCTCCAAAGGAAAAGCACTTGCCAGGCAAAGAGTTGCTTAATGAATTGTTGGATGGGACACAAGAAGGAGTGCAAACAGCTGCCAAGAGGAGTGACAGGAGGAAGAAATACTTGCTGACTGAGGAAAACTCTTCAAGAGGTCTAACACTGTTAAGGAACTGTAGGGGTAGCAAGGACTCAGTCCAAAAAGAACAAATGTCAATTCATGATCCCAAAGAAAGATTTATACCATCTGAAGAGAAACCAGAGAAACAAGATTTCATTTTAAATCGTATTTTATTCCAATTTCACTTAAAATTGTATTTCATCCAATTCCATTTTAAATTGCTTTTATCAAATTTTAGTAATATTTTTGGGGGGAATTCTGCACTTTGATATGGCCCAGGGCTAATAAATAAAGATTGAATTGAATTGAATTGAATAGAAAGGAGAATGATCTATCAGTCAGGATTGATGGTTAAGAGTGCACAGTATTGATGACTGTGGCACTTTCCAACTTGTTTAGCTGGAAAGAGCATGGTGGCTCTGCATGCTCCCACATGCCCCTTGTATGTATGTGTGCCTTTGAGTGTTCACTCATAGTGACTGCCTGGACAAGTCTGCAGTATTCTTGGCAGGTTTTCAGAAGTAGCTTGCCATTGCCTTCTTCTAAGTGCTGAGATGGCCTGGCCCAGGGACATACAAATGGCTTCCTACCAAAGGCAGGAGTAGACTCAGTCTAATTTAAAATTTAAAACTGGAGTTGAGTATGGAGGACATGATTGAATAAAAGAAAAAAAGAGACATAAGATCTAGTTAGAAGAATCCTATTAAATTGGAAAGCTGCCTTATCGAGCCAGTTTGTTCCCTAGAGCCCTAGTGGTGCAGTGGTTAAAATGTAGTAGTAAAGGAAAACTCTGCCCAGTGCCAGGAGTTTGATCCTGATTGGCTCAAGGTTGACTCAGCCTTGCATTCTTCTGAGGTCAATAAAATGAGATCCAGATTGTTGGGGACAATATGCAAATAATGCTTCTACATTTTAAACCGCTTGGAAAGTGTTGAGCCAAAAATCTGTTAGGTCATTGGTAAAAGATTCAGTAGTAGAGAAGGGTATGAATAGACATTACACTACATTAGGTTCTGGCACAGTAAATAATTGTGGCTTTGCTTCTAGCTAGAATTTGCATAACCTGAATGTCCAGTATAAAACTGATCTAGGAGTTTTCTTCCGTAACACAATAACTGTCCTTCTCGGTTGAAAAAGGTTGAATTATCACCTTGGAGAAAGAAAACAGAGAATTTTCTTGCCCACTTTTATCTTAGCTGCTGCTTTATAAATGGACTTATTCTCATATTTGTGGCTATTCAATGGTTTATGGAGAAAAGGATTGAATAAGCAGGAAGATCATTGAAGGAAAGCAGGCAGACAAAATGCAGCATCTGAGAGTATGGCCAGTGTTATATAAAAAAATTTTACCTCTCGGGATCTAAAAATAATATGCTCTTTATGTTCAAGTTCCCAACATATTTTTTTTCTTGCAAGCCCACCTTCCTATCCTGTCCTCTATCTGTATAATATTTTAGTTTTTCTTGGCATTGGCTTTGGTATTGGCTTTTTATGTGATGACTGGTTACAAAAGAATGGATCTACATGAACACTGCCATCAAATACATTAATATTTTCCCAGAATAAGAATTTGCAAAACTGGCAAGAAGAAATCTATAATCAGTATTGGAATTTATTCAGTGAATGGATTGTTTCCAGAACAAAAAGTTGTTAAAAAGATTTTGCATTTGTTTTCAGATAGCCATGCCAGTTCAAGGAGGCTCTATTAAATATTTGTCCTAAACTTTTTTCCCCTTGGGATATTAAATATTGTCCAAACCTCATTTCCTGTTGGAATCAATTTTATCAAATATTATCCTAAACATTGTTCCATCCCCTCACTACATTTCACTCTTTGTCCAAGTTTATGGCAGAAAGGAACACTACAGAGGCATTGCTAGTAAATCACCTTGAAGAGATTACAACCTTAAATTCCATGAAGACTTGCAGAAGAGAGAGTCAAGGAAAGTACAAAAAGCAAGCTGTTTGTAAAGTAAATGAGAAGACAGAACACATGAACACCCACCCCACAAATTTGTAAAATTATCCTTTCAGTTTGGAATTTTTGGAAGGAAGACTGTAATAGGGATTGAACTCATAGGGCTCTGGGGGTTTTTGGCAAAGATTTTTTTTTTCCTTCTTCATTTCTGTACCAACCAAAAATACCTCCTCTAAACAATTTCAAAAGTTAGTGTCCTTTTTTCACATTTTATTACATCATTTATTATTAAATATTTAGAGTATTCCAAAAAACAAGGGTTAAGATACTTATTGCTTCTTCATTCCAGAAAGTGTTCCATCTTTGATTCCTGGTTAAACTTGAAAAATCTCCCACCCCAAACACATAAATTTTGTATGACAACTAACTCTAATTTCTCCAATTATCATTTGATAAATGCAATGTCTCAAGAAAAAAGACAGGGTGGAAGGGATTAGGCAAAATTCATAGCCTTCTGGGTCTTTGCCAGTAGAATAGAAAAACCACGTGAGGTTTTGCCTGTTTGTTTAAAGCTCTCTGCATCTTGTTTGTCAGTATCCATTTCCCTCCAGATACTAAAGGAACAATTAGCTTATTCTAGAAGACAAGACACCAGGTAAAGACTGTTCCTTCTCTAATATTTTTCTCTTCAAAGCAGCTAATCCTGTTGAAAAGAAAACAAGTCTAGAAGGAGAGAAGAACAATTCCTGTTTGATGGAAATAGCAGGCAAGTGGAAGAAACAGTTAAAATTTGTCTCTTACTTACACACGCATGCACACTGCTAAATGAATTGGAAGCTTTCCAAGATCCTCTCTGTATTCATCTGATGTGATTCAATTGAGATTGTAAAGACAGCATTGGGGAAAGGATTATAACTCTTTTTATTCCATTCAAAATCTGAGCCCTCTACAGTTGTTCTACATAATTAAAAACAGACACAGTTGATCCCAATTTTCCAAAGTTATGGTTTATTTAACTCCATTTCATTTTTTTTCTTTTCCTGAAGCTAATGCATAATTGCTGACTGTGTTATATGGTGATAATTGTAATTCATATGTATTAATGGCAGCCTGAAAAAAAAGAATTGCAAAGTTTGACAAGTTAATATAACAATAATGCATGAATAGCAAAGCCTGATATTTAATCTTAATCAAAAGTATGATATGTAAGATATGAGCTGTAGAATCCTTTCTTACAGACGAAGTGTTTTAACCTGATCTACCCAAATATGGGATGGAGCATATCAGCCCCAATCCAGAAGCCCTTGCAGGCAGTCGCTTTCGCGACAAACTATTTTGTGTTGAATTTATATTTTGCCAACAAAGAAATAAAGGGAGACTAGCATAGATTTATTTCAAGCTGCTTAGCTCTCGTCAGCTAGCCATACCCTTTCTTGGAAAGGGGTATGAATCCTGGGTTTGAATCCCAGAAAGGGTATGGCTAGCTGATGAGAGCTAAACAGCTTGAAATAGATCTATATTAGTCTCCCTTTATTTCTTTGTCAGTAAAATATAAATTCAACACAAAATTTTCTTGCAGATTATTTTATTGAGTATTTCTGTGTGCTTTTCCTTTTTCTCTCTCATTTACCTGATTTTGGTCAATTAACATTTAGCATTTCTTAGATAATATCTATTCTTTAATTCCAAACTTGAATAATTATAGCAAAAAATATTTGATGGATTCATCCATACTAACAGGGATGGTATTCAAGGGGTTCAGACCAGGGGAACCTCTAGGGAAAATTTTAAGTGGTTCATAGAACCGGTAGGGAAAATTTTGACTGGCCCAGCTCGCCTCTCACCTCTCCTACATTCTATTGTTTATTAGCTCAGCTGATTCAAGCAGCAGAACAGATTGCTGCACCTCAGCTGAGCTAAAAAACAGCTGTAGGTCCGTCTTAGACTCATTTGTGTTTGGCGTGCCTCCGCTGAGCTTTCAGAAAAGTGTATCTGTGCTAGGTTGGTCTCATTTGTGTTTGGCACGCCTTTCTCTTTGCCTGCCATTTGTCTTCTCCCCATGCCGGCAGCTCCCTTTCTCGTTTCCCTATTGAGCCAGGATCCTCTTTAATGGGGAGGGGAAAGAGAGAAGCCAGCGTGAGAGAAGAAAGCCACTCTTTCTCTTTGCCTGCCAGCAGCTTCCTTTCTCCTTTCCCTATTGAGCGCAGCTCCCAGGATCCTCTTTGAAAGCGCACATGCCTAAGGTCTCCTCCCTTGCAGCCCAGCACTGTGATGAAGGAGATGAAAACATCAGGAGAAGCTTGGGGCTGAGAAAAACAAGCATTGCCAAAAAAAAAAAAAAGTTTTTGTTTGTTTGCACTCTGCAGCTTACCATCACAGAAGTTTGTTTGTGTGTGTTTGTGTGTGTGTGTACGTGTGTGTTGGGTTGAATAAGCAGGATGGCAACTCATTCAAATAAGTTTTTGTTGGGGGTAGGTCTTCTAGCCTTAGAAGGAGAGAGGGAAGGAGGAAGGGAAAGGAAAGAAACAGAGCAAGAGAGAGAGGAGGGAGGGAGGGAGAGAGAGAGGAGAGAGGAAAGAAAGAAAGAAAGAAAGAAAGAAAGAAAGAAAGAAAGAAAGAA